AAAACAGTGCAAAATGAGTTCCTATATATCTTAATCTTTTGAAAAATATTTGATTCCTTTTTGTGCTGATCATTATTGCGTACATTAACCAGTTAAAAGTAAAGTTAGCTATTTTTTATTTGCAAATAATGAGTATGTATTGTTATTTAACGGATTAAATCAATCATATAGGGTTACTTAGAAGGTCAACATACCAAAGAGAAAAGTTAATACGTAAAAATATATATATATGGTAAATCCTTTTGCACCGTTAATTTAGTATTGCACAGCCGAGATGGTTAACCTTCGGAGCATGGAAATTCCATGGAACAGGTGATATACCTGGGGGCGCTTAGAGATATAGCAATCTTGGCATTCTTATGCCGACCAAGACGCTATCTTTTCTCTCGAGCAGCAAAAGTAAGAATATTATTGCGCAATAAATGAGACACTGTTTTTGTGCATTGGGCCAGTCATGATAAGCAACTGTTATTTGGGTCTACGGCTCAATGGCAAAAACATCCTCTTTTTAAGTATGATAAAATAAACTTCTGTACTTCCATACAATCACGCCTTGTCTGTGCTTATGGATACAGTACACTATAAATTAAAAGTTGTACCTGTATATATGCCATCTCCCTTTACGGGAGAATAGCTTGGACATACTTATTGTACTTTAGCTAAAAAAACCAATTGCGGATTTAATGGGTGTCGCACAATGCCACTGTTCGGTAATGCACCTTTAGTGTGGTAGTTTTCATGTTAAGTTGAAAGTTTAAATCGAATGCGAAGGTCAAGTGCATACTTAATATGAACTTGCCGGCGACGTAAACTTTTAGAAGCTCTAGCGTATTAAATTAATGAGGACGAGTTTAGTACGCAATCATCAAAGGTTGATAAAGAGAGCCACGTCAATGATAATGGAGCCCACGACCTTGGTTGCGCTTTAACATTTCTAAACGCTGAGCTTTTGTAAAAACTCTCATTCCCAGTATGATGGATTTACGAGTTAACCTGTTAGAACATCCGTGGTTATTAACTCAATCGACCCCTGGAAACGCCAATTATAAATAAATAAGGCCGCCTTACCGTTTGTTTTCGCCATCTTTTTATTAATTGGTACAAACCACGGCGCCCCCGACATACTTGAGCGAGAAAGCTGTTGTTGGTAAACTATAGACCCAGAGTCTTTAAAAGAACTCGTTATTAACTTATTAATGCTCCATCAAAGAGATTTAATGCAAACTATAAATACTTCGTGTAATTACTTTAGTGAAACTTTATAAATCAGTACGTATATTCGGCTAAGTTATCACTTTTAACACCCATGACATATCACTACTCGTTACTAATTGTTACGGGCCAGGTATTATTATTTTTCTCTTTAATATGGTTTACATAACTTTTCTTTGTCTTAGTAACCGATATTTTCTAACTATTTTACCCTAAGATAGGTTAACAATACTTTTTATTTGTTACTTATAACTTGACAGTCTATAGAATAGTTGCTCACTCGACATATAATCCTTCGTTAGTGTGCTGGAAGATAAAAAACACCATAATTATTGATGGGTATTTAGCAAATAATTTTCTTAGTTTTTGGAATAAATTTACTACCTGTATTAGGAAAAAATGGTGACTTTTATATTAAAGCTAAACATCATAAATAATCTATACACCCCACATTATCAGGGGCGGTTTAAGTAGAAGTAAAAGTAGGGACCAAGAGGGAGGTATCCCATATCCCACAACACACGAATCGTTAATTCTATCTTACTCCCCTCTCTAGGTGTTTTACTACTTAAATCGGTAGAAAATTTATTTTTTACTTCCATCTAATTTTTTAAAACGAAAAAAAATTAACTTTCGAAAATAAATACTGTAACTGCATAAAAATAAAGTAAAAAATTTTTTTTGTTAAGGCTACTTACAATTTAAAATTTAAAATCAGAAGTCCTGGAGGAAACAGAAATTATACTTCTTCCCAATGCTAGTAAATCTGCTAAATCACAAGAGTAGCAAAATTGTTTTTAAATAAATTGGATACTATAATTGTCTAATTAAATTTTTGAGATCAAATTTGAAGTTATTGCTAAATAAATCTAACTTTATATATTATATCATAAACCAAGAACCCCATGAGTAATTACACCTAGTAAGACTTGAGGAGGTTCATACGAAGATAAAGCCTTTTAACCTTAAAAATCATAATTATTTTTTTGCTTTAGTAAAAAGAAAAAATGTTAATAATTATTAAGATAAGGTCCTTTAATAAGTCTAATAGTTACATTAAGGAAGGGCGTTAAAGCGTATATATTAGATGGAAATGCTGTTTTAGTGCGTACCGTTTGTCTGGCACTAAAATAAACTTTTTATTAAGAGTTAAAATGATAAAACTGTCCCTGTCTACAAAGCTTTATAAAAACTTTATTTTTTTAATAGTTATAGCAAAGACTAAGAGATAACATCGACAGGTCTATTTAAGTTGTTCTTTATCATTAATAACCCTAAGAATTTATTGTTTACTTTTTAAACGCATGCATAATCTCTTCTTTCAGTCGCATAGAAAATTGTTAATTAAAAAAAACTTTTTTTTGACATAATTAGCGGACATATATATTTTAACAAACTTATTTCATACACAAACAGCGCTATGCAACGGACATTTTGAAAGTAACAATCATTATTATAATAACAATTCATAGATAGGAAGATTGAAATTGGACACAATATGTGGAAAATAGAACAAGTAGTATAACAATTATTGCGAAAAGTTAAGAAATAATAATTGGAATATCAAAATTCGCTTTTACGTCAATAATAGAGCCGTTATGTTCTTAACAACTATTAAATTTGTGCGTTTACATAAATAGATAGCTTTACAAAGAATCAACTTCGCCGAAAAGTGTATAAACGCCACCCTCTATCTTAATTATATATCTTATTATTAATTATGGTGCTTGCTGATGAATTTATATATAAAATGATATAACCGAGTTATCTCAAAAATTAACGATATTTTATTAAATGCATAATATTGGATTTCAAAGGCTGATAGTTTCTAGAACTAGTATAATATAGATGTATTAAAAAATATAAAATAAAAAAGTTGAAGGGCCAAAAGAAACTGGTAATTTATTTGACAGTCTATAACTCTCCCGAGAGTACTGCTACTTTAAACCAAGAGCGAGTGAAAACTATAAAAAAGTCTGGCCGACACGTGCTAACTCTCTGATAATTTGCAAGGATACGCCCTCGGGCGAGTAACCCTCACATAACATACAGCATTCAAAGGTCTATGATTGGTAAGAAACCCTTTTGTTAATAATAAATTATCTATTTTTGCAAGCGTTAAAGAAGAACAAACAAATAGGTTAGAGTTTATAACAATTACACAACTAAGTGGTGCATTACTCACAATTCATTAAAAAAAAAAAAAAAAGAAGGCGGCGTTGATTTTATGTTTAACAGTAAAACATTCAAACTTGAACTTATTTCCATCGTGTTTACCTCGCCGCGGACATGGGATCAGCCTTATTGACTATACACCTATTTGTTAGTATATTAAATGATGTTTGTTTAAGTTATTAAGAAAAAAATATAGGAACTAATGAGCCATCTATTAAAAAATTTATACTCTTTAATATGGTGTATACCGTTTAATAAACAATACTTACTCAAAAAATTGCACTTTTTAAGTAGTCGTAGTAATTCAACTTACAAATTTGCAACTCTAGCACCAAATCTTGTAACTTCTGATGAAATAAAAAATACTTTTATTAAGTATTTTGAGGAAAAAGGCTATCACAAAGTTACTTCAGCGTCTTTGATTGCTGACAAAGACCCCGAATTGCTTTTTACAAGCGCAGGTATGTTATATATATAACATTTATTTTGAATTTTTTAAGAATTAAATTTTGATAATACTTACTTTGTTTTTTACTTAATGTCATAAGTAGGAATGGTTCCTTTCAAATCCCAATTTTTAGGCCAACAGCCCGCCATTCATCAAAAAATTTTTTCTATTCAAAAATGTTTACGTGTCAAAGGTGGCAGAAAACTTTAGCATAGAAAACTAAACTAAATTAATCAATTTGAGTTTTTATAAACTATAACTTTATAGTATATACACCTATACAGCTAACTTATAGTATCTGCAATATAATTATATCGATATTTCTTAGCTTTTTACTTTTTTAAACTTTCCCCTTGAGATTTTTAAATTAACTTATTTATAAACATCTAAACGTTTTATTCATAACGTATTAAAATATCTTCTGTTAGCCTAAAACTTATGTTTTCTATGAATTTATTTTTATCCGGATTTCTTTTTGAATTTATAAGCTGTTTCGTTACTTGCTTTTTTAAAACTGGATAAATTTATTTTAATTTTAAAAAAAACATGTACAAATTTAGAGTTGCCCTTTAAAAGTTTAATTACCATCTTTTATATTTACGTCCAAACAAAGCCGCCAAAGTCTTCTCAAGTAAAATTATTGAAGGCTCATTTCCTTTTCTTTTTAATTTTTTTTATACGCGTGCATCTTAGGATTTTTCTAAGTTATATACGCTTGTTTACTATGATTATTATCTTTAAACCAGGAAAGCACAACGATCTTAACACGGTTGGACACTCCCCCTGTCACAACACGTACTTTGAAATGCTTGGCTCGTTTTCCTTTGGCGAGCTATCACGTGCTGAAGCTATCCAGCACTGCTGGGAGTTTCTTATAGAACGCTTCTGTTTGCCGCAGGAGAACTTTATAGTCACGTGAGTGTTTCTTTTCGATATTAACAAAAAAAAATTACATTTAAGTAATTATTATAATAATATAATAGTAAATAGTGAAAATATAATATTATCAATATAATCAAAACTAAATCTTTTTAATTATTATAATTCCTTATACAAACTTTTATAGTTTTTTTTTAGAATCTTTAGTAAAATTTAAGAAAACTTCGCGTATTGATTAAAACATTATTTTTTTTTAACTTGTAAGAGTTTATAAAGATGACTTTCTGACCTATGATATTTGGATGAATATTATTGGTTTACCAGAACGTCAAATTTCTAGAAAAGGAGAAAATGATAATTGGGTTATTCTTATTCTTATTATTCTTTTTATTATATTAATATTATTATATAATATATAATTTAGTGGAGCATGGGAAGCACGGGGCCGTGTGGCCCTTGTACTGAAATTTACTGGGACTTCGGCGCTCCTCTTGATTGTAAAACTCGGTGAAAGTTATTATTATACTCATTTATTTATATTTTTCTTTTATAAGAATAGTTTCATATAAAAGTTTATTGGTTTTACGTATATAGATAATAGTATTAATTATATTAGATATCTAGAACTCTGGAATATTGTATTTATAGAAAAAGAAATGTCAAGTGATGGTTCACTCTATTTTTATTGGTTTGCTTTTGGACTGCTTTATTATTATTTGTTTGAACAAAAGGAAAAATCACTGATTTACCACGAAAATGCATCGATACGGGAATGGGCTTAGAAAGACTTGCGGTCGTGCTGCAGGTTTAATAATAATAATAATAACTTATTTGCTTAATTTTTTATTCTCATTTTATTCTGACTTTCATGGTTTTATAAAAACTTTTATATTATATAAAAAGCAAAAGAAAAGTATTTTTGAAACTGATCTTTTTTCTCCCATTATGGAGTTTGTTCAAAGCCGTGCAGATAATTCTATTTCTTTAAAAAGTTAGTATTGTAAAGTTATTATCCATATATTTTTATTTAGAAAACTTTTTTGTTTATAATTATTATTATTATATAGATATTGTATGTTAATAACTTTTGTTAATGCCTTATAGTTTTAATTATATTATTCTGTTTAAATTCTCTTCAGTATTTTATCAAAATTTTTCTAGTTGGTTCATATTTTACGACCGCGCGCTCTTAAAAATTATTAAAACTTTGCCTTTTTTATTATAATAGTTAAGGTTAGGGAATTTTCCCTAAATTGCTCGCTTTCCACTAGTGTAACAGTAGAAGTAATAATTAGTATAATAAAACCACAAAGTAGAGCATATATGTAATGAAATGTTACAAAATATTAAAGTTTCTTATACGAAACCACAACGCTTCTGTTTCTTATTACTTTTCCCTTTTCTATTATAAACTGAATTTTGATTTTTTATTTTTTAGAAAAAAAAGAAAATACTCGATTATTAGCGGATCATATTCGCGCTTGTGTTTTTCTTATAGCTGAAGGCGTTCAACCTAGGTAGTGTATAACAATAACAAAACACTTTGTATTCTACATTAGCACAGTTTTAGCCTAATAAGGAAGAGAGTGGTAGACCACGTGTTCTTTTGCATAGATATTTTAGGCAGAGGCCTCTCCCTTTTATACACCACCTGGGAAAGAGCTATATTAAGGTCAAAAAATACAATAAGCTGCACGTGGAATCTGTTAAAGGAGGCTGTACGCTATTTTTCAAAAGTATTAACGTTGACCACCAAAAGTAATTTTTCACGTGTGTCTACGAGGATCAGTGTAACTTGATTGGCGAGCTTTGCCTTAAATTTTATAATTTCGAGGTTTCCACGAAATTTTGTGAAGAGTTTCACATAAAAAAAAATGAAACCCTCTCAGTTTCCACTCGACCTCGACGATTTTATTATTTTTCTTTACTTTATCGCATTAGCGCGAATGCACAAGGCCACGTGTTGCGTAAGTTAATAAGAAGTGCAGCGTTTGCCGCGTATGAACTTGATATTAAAGGTACATTCCTTAAAGTTTTGACTACTTAGTAAATATTGTACACATAACAATAGTTGAGGTAGTAAAAAGTATATAAAAGTAAGGGGAAGTACACGACCTTCTAATACAAGATCGTTGCTTACATAGAGACAAATTGATAATAGTTATGCTGTTGCTTAGTGAAAAGTTAAATAATCTATCTAAGTTTATTTAGTAGCTTTTTTATAATAATAGTTAAATGAAATCAAACAGTATTGATATTGTACACATTTTTAAAAAATATAAATTATATTTAGATAATTTTCTTTCCTCATTGGCCGAGGTAGTAGTGAAATACACGCCTTCAGCCACGTGTTCTCAGGTGGTCTCTCGGGTTCCATTAATTACTGAAGTATTGCAAAAAGAAGTAATTTTTTATACGCTTTCGTTGTAATATTTTATATTATAATATTTTAAATAAAAATAATAAAGTTTATAGTCAAAAAAATAATATGTTAATTCAGGAGACTGCCTTTCATAAAACGCTGGAAAAAGGTTTGGTTCATTTAAAAAAGATCATCAAAGAAACGTTGGAGAAAAGTATTGGTTATCCACCGCAACTCTCGTGACTTTCTTTTAATGGTTATAACAATTTTACAGAGTCACATGTCCTCTCGAGCGACGCTGTTTTCCTTTTGCTGGACACTCATGGCCTTCCGGAAGAAGTGGTTGCGGCGGTCGCTAATAAGCATAACTTGTTTATAAACTTCGCAGGAAAAATATTAATAATTAGATTTATAAATATTTTATTAAAAAAAATAATAATTACTATAAATTAATTAAAATATCAATAAATAAAATTTAAAAATTATTATTTAGTATAAAAGTAATAACATTTATATTTTTATGAAATTTAAAAAAAATTAAAAATAATAATAAAAATTAGAAAATAATATAAATTAATAATTATGAATTTTATAATAATGATAGTAATAATAATAATATAATAGATGTTCGTCAACTATTAAGTAAACAACAACTCCGTTCAAGACTTCACCAATCAAAAAAGCGTTCTTTACCTTTAGACGCTATTGAACACGGTTTTATTGGTTCCTTATAATCTGTTATTATTATAATTATAATTATTTTATTTATAAGGAGAAAAAATAAACGTTCGGAGCCGCTTTATCGGATACGATTTTCTTCAATGTGAGACAAAAGTTGTTTGGCTTCGTTCGACCAATAAGGGTAATCTGTATTTTATTGGCTATTTTAGAGTTATTAGTAAACGTGTTTGGTCTTTAAAATTAATATGACAACCAATACATTTTTTTTAAAATTTACTTATAAAGAAATAAGTTGGGCCGTAATATTTTTCTTATGAAGTTTATTTGCTTTACTTTTGGGAAACTTATATATTGTTTCTGTTTAGTAAACTTTAAAAACTCTACAAATATTTATCATGTTATAAAAATTATAAAAAAATAGTTATTTGTTTCGAACTATTTTCAAGAATATTATTATTATTATCATTATTACTTCCTCTTATATTAATTGTTCAACGGTATTTATATATTGTTTTCTTTTTAGAAGTTTTGTCAAACATTTACTATTCTTTATTACAACCCTTCGGATGCAACAAACTTTATTATAATAACTATTATTATATATAAACTTCTAATTTGATTAAAGTAAAAATCCTTTTTTTTATTCAAGCGGATTACGTTGTTCTTGAAAATAACATATTCTATGCAGAATCCGGCGGCCAAGTAAGCGATACGGGTACATCTATTACACACTTTTTACTTATTAGTAATATTAATAATACTTTTATTACTATTATTAAGTTAATTAGTAATTATACTAATTTATTATATTCTTTTACTTTTTTTTATTATTTTTTTAATCATATTATTCGCTGCAAAAACTTCTTAATATTACTGTTTATATATAATATTTCACTACACTTTTACTTTTTTATGAATACTATTTAAATATTTGTTTTTACTGGTGTGAAATATGATTATTTGTTACCGTTTTAATAGTTTCTGCAGCCAATTTGTCTAAGTTAAGTAATATAAATTTCACTATTTATTATAATACACATTTTGTTAATGGTTTTTATATAACCAATATTGAATATATAATTGAAGGCTCCCTTATACTTTCGAGTGGCAAAAGCGTAGAAGTTTTGGGCTGCCGTTTTTTGTTAAACGATATTCCAGTTGTAGTTTTACCTCCGAATTCTCAAATTCTGGTCACAATAAAAATAATAAATATATCCACTAGTTTTTTGGAAGAAAATTTATTATTTACATTATTAGTGCAACGATACTGTTAAAGCCTTTGTAAACAAAGAGCGAAGAGCACGTGTCTGTAAGTACCACACAGCAACACATTTGCTGAGCCACGTGCTGAAAGTTTTGTACGGGGACGGCGTAGCTCAAGCTGGTTTTTTTTAATTTTTATAATGTGAATATTGCGAGCTAACTTTTATTGTGAATTTTTCAAATAAAAGTTTATAAAAATTAATATATATATATATATATATTGTATATATTTGTAGGGTTCCCATGTCTCACTAAAATTAATGTTTTAATTTTTTTGGCTCCAGGCTCGTTTGTTGGGGAGAAAAAACTTCGTTTTGACTTTACTAAAAATGGAAATAAAAGTTTTGATAAAAGTGTTATTGAAAAGGAAGTCAATACTATTATTTTATTGGATCTTCCAATTTTTATAGAAACAGTAAAATATTTATTATTATTTTTTTGTTTTTATTGGTTATTATATTTATTTTTTTAATACTATTCTGTTGGTGAATACTTTATTAACTTTTTCTACTTTACTACAGTTATTAGATTATCAATATATATTTTTTGCCAAAAAAGTTTGCCATAACCAGTAAAAAAAACTGTATTTTATATATTACTGACCCAACCCATAAAAGTATTTTAACAGCAAATCTTTAAATTATAAAAAACATTTAACTCTTAAATATTAGACACCAAATTAAAAATAAACAAACCAATTAAAAACAACGAGCTATAACGGAGCTATGAAAAAGCGTATGCACTAAATTTTTTGAACAAAGTTTCACGTGCAAGTCACTTTCTTTTTTTTTTTTTGGCATCCACAGCAGCATATTTTGTGCTTTTGCTTATTTTTTGTGTATGTCTTTTACTCCTATAAGTATCGCTTGGCCACTTTTGTTGGGTCCAAATTTATACACTAAAAAACTCGTATACTCGTTACTCGTGGGACTTTATAAGGATCTTTTTTTTATGCAGCGCAGCTTATGGCAAACTCCCGACTTTTCCCCTTAGAGTGCCTTTTTATTTTATTCTTTACGCTCAAAAAAAAAGGCTCCTATATGATTAGCTGTGCTTGAGTATATAAAAAAAGTTATTGGAGAATTATTATCAAGTTTAAAGTTTTTTATATATTACTCTTTGACATTTATTGATTCTTTTTTAGAATGTTTCGGATCAGGAAGCTTTAAAAAATGGCGCAGTCGCCACTTTTAGTAATAAATATGGGCCTTCCGTAAGAACCGTTCAGGTTCAGTTATTATTCTTTTTTTTTATTACTACTATTACCATTATTTTATTATTATTTATACTATTATTTGTCATTAATTATTATTTTTTATTAACTTTTTATTATTATCTTGTAGATTAAAGGAAAGTCTACCGAGCTCTGTTGTGGCACTCACGTGACTTCCACTGGCACTATCTTTCCCTTCAAAATAACTTCCTTGTCTTCTATATCTTCCGGTCTTTTAATATTATTATCATTATTATTATTACTGTTATTATTATTTTTTTAATATATTTAATAAAAAAAGTTTATTAAAAGTAACACTTTCTAAGATATTATGAGAATTGAAGCGCACGTTTCGGAAGATGCATTTAATATTTTTAACGATTATGAAATGTTGTATAAAAGTTTACTAGACATGTTAAAAGTATTTATTATTATTGTTATTGTTATTATTGTTATTATTATTACTATTATTATTATTATTATTACTATTATTATTATTACTATTATTATTATTATTATTATTATTATTATTATTATTATTATTATTATTATTATTATTATTATTATTATTATTATTATTATTATTATTATTATTATTATTATTATTATTATTATTATTATACGAGGCAAACACAAAGGACCGTCTTGTATCCGTTATAAAAGGATTGATTAATAAAAATAAAGAAATGACAAACTTTATAACGGAGTTAGCAAGAAAGCCTCTTTACTGCGCTGCACGTTCTCAAATTCCTTTTGGAGGTTTTTATTTTTATATATTAGTAAATAATTTTATTATTATTATTAATATTAATAAAATTTTTCATACTTTTTTTAGGAAATCTAATATACTTCCACCGGGAAACCTCGAACGCCCCAAAAGATTACATTAAAAAACGAATTGAACATTTATGCAGTCTTGCTCCGGATGGCCTTCACATTATTGTTTCGGGTGCTTAAATATATTTAGTTTTTTATGGTAATTAAAAGATTTTGACTATTTTTTTCATATAACTTTTTTATTAAAAGGCTCAAGAATTTATTGCCGTTCTCCAAATAAAGAAGAGATTCCAGCGAACCAAGTACGTTTTTCTAAATATGATTGGTCCTTTTTATTACAGAAATTATTGGTCAGTTTTTATTATCATTTTATAATTATATTAATATTATTATAATGATTGTCTCTTGATAAGTCCTATTTTTTAATTGTGATTGGTTATACCATTACTTTAATCAAGTTATATTACGAATAATAAAAATCAATAAATATATAATTAAAAATAATAGTAAATAGTATAAATTAAAATATTTTATTAATTAATTAATAATTTGTAGTTTTTCTTTGCACCTTTACTATTTGTGGTTATATTTTAATTTTATATTTATTTAAAAAAAGTTTTATTTATTATATTAAAATAATCATTAAAATTACATTAATATGATTGGATATATATTAATAACGTCATTAATTGATTTTCGTGTTAATCAGTTGGTTAATATATATAAATACTAAATTTTTTTTTAGATTCTTCAGAAACTTTTACGCGAACTTAAAGGTAAAGGAGGAGGGACTGAAGTATATGCGCAAGGGACTTTTAATAACGAACTTGAAGACTTCGAGTTTATTAGAGCTATAAATAATCTAAAATAAAGTTTACTTTTAACTATTTTCCATACATTTTTTTTATTATTATCTTAAACGTAAAAGTGTAAGAAAAGTTCGAAATTGTGCTGCGCACCCGAAATTTGCGATCAATTTAACTTCCTTTATTTAAAGTTGTTAAAGAAACTAACTTATTGCTTATTCCCTAACTCATTGACAACTTTTGTTTTTTTCTAAGGTGATAGCCTACTTTTTCCGTTGTGGAGTATCAAGCGTATGTAAACTATAAATAATAATACAGATAGTTATATAAGGGCGAAGAGAGACGTATATAAATTATCCGCAAAAAAAGATATACAGATAAAATGAGGCTTAATTCTAAAACGGAAGAACCATCCTAAAAGATGTAGTCCAAATTTCTGATATATATATTCTGTTCAAGGAAATTTTTATTATGACTTTAGATTTAATTATTATTATTACTTCAATAATGACAGCATATATCTATGTTAAAATATAAGGCTTTTTTGGACATAATTACGGTTTTTACCCTGTAATAATTCTCAAGTGTTAACTATTTCTAGTTTAGAAAA